AGAATTCCATTAAGGGACAATTAGCAGGGCATGTTTTATAGATTGGATCACTTAAAATGTTGTGGTATAATGTGATAAACTGCAGAAAATGTTCTTCCCAAAGTGGATATAGAGGGTACAATAAATCCACTAGCACACCTAATCACAAGTCCTAACCCTGACAGGACTGCTGCAATTTTTTGGATGAATCACAGTTCTTACTTGAGGTGTTGAATTGCTTTTGAATTTGGTTTCTTTGGATGATGCAAATCGAACATTTTTAACAGGTGCTGGATAAAGCAGGGGGTGTTAGGGGCAACAGTTGGCCTGATACACTCATTTTTATTCTCCTAACCCAGTGTACAGTGTGATTCCACTTTTCTCACTAAATACAGAGCTACAGCCCAGAACAGTATAGCTTAGAAACAAAGGCTGGAAACAGGGTGAAACAGCCTGAATCTGTGCAAAGGTTTCTTTAAAAGGAGATATAATGTGTTAATTAGTGCTGGTAGTCTCATTTTGTTACCTTTGGACAGAACCAGGCTACCTATTTCACCCTGTTTCCAGTCTTAGTGCTAATCTAAGCTAAATTGCGGCTAGCTCCAGCTCCATTAGAGTGGTATTAATCTTCCTATATAACCAACCCGTTCTCACTCCCAAGTCGTCACATATGGACGCTTCAAGTCAAGAGCCATAATCGTCAGTTTGTGACGCACTAGGGATCCCTTTCACGTCATAGTTCGACGTATTGAGGGAAGCCCTGTTGTGTCAGTTTTTGATGGTAAAGGCAAGTATGATATTTAAGAGAAAAGACGAAGTAAGGAGGTGATTGGGGTGGATAGAGGGCCAGAACCCGGACCTTGAAGCAGGAGAACAGGGTTTGTGTCCCGTGCGAAACAAAACATTAAATGTTTTTATTTAGGCGAGTGAGGTAAATTGACATTAACATTAGTTAACTTAAGTCTTAATTGACATACATAGCTATTTTAACCCAAACCATGATCTTTTCCTAACCTTAACCAAGTAGTTTTTTGCCTAAACCCAACCAAGTACTTTCACGAAACTGCGTTTCACGACTTTAATTATGCGCGTTTCAACATGGCAATGTATCGAAACGTTACGTTTTATCTTGAAAGTGTAACCGGGTATTGCATATTTATTGTTGCTAAGCGTTGCAAAACGTCAATAATTGATGCAAAAGGGCTACCCAAGTCTTTAAAAAGCGACGACAAAGGGCCTTGACCATGTGTCAGACATTTGACGAGTAGGGAGTGAGACTGTGTTGTCCAGACAGCAAATAAGTGTTTTATCTAAATAAATGATTTAAGTCAAAATGCTCCACAACCAGATGCTTATCTGTGGCTCAGGCTCAATAATTTGATTTGCTAGCTTGTCACACCCTCAACCGCCAGCCAACCTGGCAGAGTCCAATTTCATACATTGTTTTAGTCTCTCTGGAATAAGACTATTTAAACTCTCACCAGATCTGTATTTATTAACAACATAAAGCATTTGCATCAATCACAATTTAATGTAAGGGTAAAACGGGGCGAAAGTAACACGGGACGAAAGTAACAAGACGATTTTCTCAGAGCCCTGACTGCATTTGCAGTCCAAGCTATAACAGCACCTGCAGCACCTGCAGCACCTGCAGCACTGCCAAATATCGCATGATTTTGACATTGTTTGCTATTATCTATTGTAAATAGATAATAAATAAAATGAAAATGTAATTTATACATTTTTTGCAAAGATAAAGGACAAATACATTTGCAGTTACATATCAAGCTCATAGTAACGTATATTTAATAAGAACAAGAGAAACAAAAAATCTAGTTGTGTTACTTTCAACCCTCCTGTGTGTTACTTTCGACCCAACTGATGGGGTCAAAAGTAACAATGTGCTGCTTATGTTTAAAGTGAAATTATATGGACGTCGTTCTACATTTGTACAAAATACCACCTGATATTAATAAACCACACCTGTGAGTTACTGACCACAGCAAAAATAGATCACTGTGTACAACATAATCTTTTAAAATCAGGTTTTTCTGAAAAATGGTACTTTCGCCCCTGCTCTCCCCTACAGTACAAATGTGAGCTAGTCCCCGTGTTTTGTAACTGTGGGTATTTTGTGCTCTTTCCATGACTGTTTATGGATTCACAGCAAACCAGTTCACTGCAGAGTGCCTGAAAATAAGGAAACACACCTGTGCTTTGATATATATTGAATTTTCACATCTGTGCGCCACAACCTGACAAAATCCATTATGAAATTAGAAGATTGGTGACCTTGCGCCGGCCATTTTTGCCCTGCTGTGAAAAATAAACCACTACACAGGCTTTCATCGTGACAAGAGTGAACGTTGTATTTTTTTAAAGACATTCTATTAGATGCATAAGAGAGAAGAGCTTCAGCTACATCTCTTCAACATATGTCCGAACCCTTCTCACACAGCCTCAGTTTCAATTTACTTACATTAATGTAGCTTTCATTGAGCCACTCATCGATATAAACTTACATCACAGACTTTTCCTTTTCACCAGGCACCATGGGACATTTCATCACGTTGGGAAATCTTGACTCTTATTATTTCTTCTACACTGCCTCACGTTGTCTCTCACTCTGATGCACTTTTTAATTGTCTCTACTCTCTCTGTCTACCTTGTCAGTCAGTGTGTGTGTGTATGTGTGTGTATGTGGTTTGAGTCGATGCCAAGGCTAAGTCATTAATTAGTAACAGCACAACTTGCTTTACCTTGACAGTTGAACTGTGCTGGTTTTAAGGCCTTTGAGTGCACCTCATGGCTCAACAATGCACCGCTGAGATGAAACAGGGAGAAAATGGTGGAGGAAATCAATATTATCAGGTTGTGGCCACACAACTTCCCCTTCTGTTTGCTACAGGGCAACACAAGGCCGTTATATATGAGCATCTATAAGAGGGTTGAAAGGAGAAAGAGGGAAGAAAGAGTTTGTATTTATAGGACTGTGTTAAGATTGTCCACCTATATTCTTTTCTTGTGCTTTCTGCCTAAATGATTTTGTCCAGCTCCATCTGTACTTCATACACCTCATGTTTTTCTCTGCCAAGCAATTTTTTCTCACTCTCTTCATTCTTTATGCATCCTCATTCCTCTCCCTTTCTTCCTATTTCACTTTTCTCCCTCTCGTTCCTTCGTCTCGCTCTCTGCCTCTTAACTTTTTGCTTTTTAACAGAATGTATTCACTTAGCAAAGGATAACTTTGCCTTCAGTAACAGGAATTTGCAATTATCTGTCAGGCTCAGCGCAGCGACAGAACAATGTTAAAGTGTCCTCTGAATTCCCACAATTATTTTAACATTCGGTTGTGCTTTAAAGTCAGACTGTGCAGTTCTGCTACACTTTCCTGCCGCTCTCGTACAACTCTGTCAAGCTGCCGGCGCTGCCCTTCATAACCATCTGTACATTTGTGGATGTGTTATCCTACCGTCTGGTTTCTGTGTCTCCTAGAGCAGGTGCAGCTTTAGGTGCAGGAAGGCTGACTCATCAATTATGGCCATAGTTGAGAGTGTGTGTGTGTGTGTGAGTGTGAAGGACTGATGGCCTGCTAATCACAATCATAACATAAAGCCTATTACATTTCTTGTAAATCATTAACATACACATTTTACTGACTCACTGTGGTTTAAAGCCACTGGATCATTTCTAACTGTATATGCTGCAAGATGTTGGAGAGTAGACTCTTACTTTCAACACACCTTTTTGAAATCTAATTATTTCTTATTGAATTAGGTGAATACATTACAGTTAATGTTCCAGCATCCAATGACTTTAATCAGGATGCTGTAATTATTATTAAACATCCATAACTTTCTGCACCATAAGGTTCATTTTAACAGGAAACTTTACATACTAATGGAAAGTAATACTGAATGGATAATTGTTGCCAAAAGTAATAAATAGTTTGTTAAAATAGTTAGCTAAAACTAATAGATAAACAGTTGAAATAGTTAGCCAAATGAATAATGTATAAGCAGTAAGCTAAAATTCAAATAGTATATAGTATGCACTATGCTCTACATACTGCACACTGCCACACAACTGTTAACTGTTTATAATCAAATTACCAGCATTGCAGTAAACTACATCAGCATTTCACCTGCAGTGGCTTCTTCCAATTACATCTCATGTTAAAGCAGCAGTTTATATTTCAGCCGTGGGTTGAAATATCTTTTAGATTACGTCACCGAAACATATCACAAACTCTGTAAACTATGCAGGCGGTTCAACAAGTGGCTTAATGAGATACATAGACTTTCATCCCCAACTCAGAGCAATAGGGCTGATTGCAGAGCATTTAACATTTGGAGGATTCAGTGCAGTGACAACAGAGGATCAAATTATTCTGGCCAAATGGCATTTTGAGAATTGTTTCTCTACTAAAAAACATTACCACATTATCTTACAAATTTTCTGATGTTTTTTTTTACCCATCAGTAAATGACAACATAGCATCATTGTGTGATTAATTTAATATCTTTTAAAAAAAAATTAATCTTATTTTATGGTGAGAAATCACTAAGGACATTCTCAGACAGCACCGGACACCAGGTTTTAGTTTGTGTCTATAAAGTATCTCAGATAAAAAGGAATAACGCTCTTTTTTGTTGCAGTTAAACTTTTATATTTAGACTCATAAGTCAAATGTACATAATAATGTAATAGACATGAAATGTAGCAGTGTACATATATACACTCTGGATTCTTTCCAAATGTGTATTAGGCAGCGTGACATACAATAGGCTGCAGCTGTAGAATGATGGCAAGAGTCCATCACTTGATGGCACTGACATGAATTGATGTTAATGTGTCTTGAGAATTGTGGAGCATGGACATTATTTCTAAAGCAGCAGATTGTACAAAATAAAAAGTGCCCTTCTGGAGCTGCTCATTGGCACAACAAAGCTGGAGCTATAAGCCGTCACCTGACTTAAACCTGATTGTAACCTTGTCCTGTCTTGTGTCCTTGCCCACAGAGGGTGGTCAGATCAACAACAACATGGGACCGGGCTCAAACATGGGCCAGCAGCACCCATACCCTGCCCTCGGCCAGCTGGCTCATGTCTACGAACAACAGCAACAGCAGCAACAGCAGCAGCAGCAGCAGCAGCAGCAGCAACACCAGCAGCAGCAACAGCAGCAGCAGCAAAACAAGGATATCAACAAGTACGCCTCCCTGAAGGCTGTGGGTGAGTGTCTGTCAAGTTCTCTTATTATCTTAACATCTTTAAATTTTAAGACAAACTGAAGAACAGAGGAATTTTTTTACATTTCGAGACAGGCAGTGTGCTTGATGTTGCGCCGTTGGTTATGAAAAAACAGGGTGTTGATTTTACCAGTTGTTGTGGCTCTGACTCTATCAGTATTTGGAGAGGGTGCATCATTTTCACTATGAATCTTGGGGTTTCCCTTAGTCTTGTTAGCGGATTCAGCATCTGATGCATCCTGAGTTGGCAGTGAACGCTTTCTGATCCACACACAAAGCTTCATCCAAAGGTCACCAGGAACGATGTGACAAAACTACAGTAGGCAGATTTTGACAGATGTTACCGACTGCACGTCCAAGCTGGACGCGATGTAAAACAGAAACAGCCTGCTTATCAAGCTGTTCATCAGCTTAATACATGTCACCAAATTCAATGAGATCAATTGCCAGAGCAGCTGTTATGAATTTGCTTCACCGTGCCCATATGTCTTTTAACAGTGGCATCATGATTTCATCACCTGAATTCACTTGAGATTGATTTGTGAATCTTTCAGTGTGTCTGTCAGCTTGTTTATGCTAGAGAGGTACCCTGCCCTTACTCAATTTAAAATTCAGCCCACTCACGCCAGGTATTATCTACAAACACACCTAGAAATCTCTAGAAACAGCTACAAGATCATATTTGTCTGCATTTGTGCCCTTTATTAGACAATGATCGCACAGAGCTTCTCTTTGAAAGGCCGTTTCCTGCGCCAAGCAGCAGAAACATTTGATTCAGATGACAAATGTAGGTGTGAACATTCTCTATATGAATGTAAATGCATGTGGAGGGCACTCACTCATCCCCAGACATGTTGCAGTAATAGATTATCATGATTGTTTATGCTCAGTGCTGCTTTGTGCCCTGTAAGCAAGAGGATGTGGTGTAATTATGGGAGCGGTTTATATAATTGCCAGCAAAATTGAAAACAGAGAAACAGATGAATAACAATTGATAAGTGGACACGTCATCTTTGAGCTTAAAGGAAGGCCACGCTACAAGAACATAAATGAAAATGGTGATTAACACTGTCATTGTGAGTCCTGGACCCTGGCATCTTTATTGTTGGTGTATTTTTATCATTCCTAGATAGCTGGCCAAATTTAGACATCAGGTAAAAGATATTTGCAGCACAGCTGTGTTTGATTGTAGAAAGCCGAAAACGGAAAACTGAAGACATCTTGGTGTCGGTCCCGGACGATGAAAGAACAAAGGGATTCTTTTTCAACTCAACATTTTGTGCCAAAATTCCACAAGGAGGGAAGGAATCCATCACAGGAGAGGCAGAGATGCCGATTTCTCCACTGACAGGAGCTTCAATAGATCAGAGTGCAGTGCAGCCGCAAGACACTCGGCAATTTGAATAAGGGACCCAACCCCACTGTTTCTCAACTAGAAAACCTTTCTATGATGTTAGGCTACAGCTTTCCTTTCATCTCACTGCACTCAAAACCAACAGATGGATGAAACACATACTTTAGCGAGGGAGGATGGCATTTTCGGAAATCTAGGAAATCTGTAACTGTGGGGGGAAATAGATGGAGGCAGGTTGATGGAAAATAGGTACAAGGAAATGGCAAATTCAAGCATAATTACTGGACTAGGTTAACTATTATTATAGTTAATATATAACAAATTGAGGATATACTCATATAATATATAATGTACAGTTTTCCAAGATGTATTTTTCCGTTGAAACAATACATATGTTGCCGCTCTGGGAATCAATCCTAAACAAAACAAAAGCAAACCTGCGTGTTTTGAAAAGTCACATTTTGTGGTTTTATTTTGTTTCACACGTTATAGATGCTCTTGCTTAACAATTAGCTTTGCAAGATAAAAGTGAAGTATTTTGTGAATACTTCCCCATCACACAGAGACTAACATTAGAACTAAGTCCATTTCAGTGCAAAGCTGGTGCCAGTACAGCCTTGTGGATAACAATGGGTTGCAACAGAGACAGAGTACATAACGGCGGCACCCCTTACTCCAGAACCCATAGGCCAACTTCTGTTTTATCCAGTGATGATGGTCAGCAAATTACGCATTGATTTCATTATTCTCACACTGGCAGAAGACTGCAACGTGATTTCAGAAAGCTGCGTACTCCCACACACTTTTCTCTGCTATTGTTTCAGTTTGACAGTGACCTTCTTCAAGACCATGTAGTTTAATAACTGCCAGTTATTTTTCATATTGCATTTCAACGGATTGCAAACACAAGTGAATGGTTAGGCACAAACACATCCTTAAATCAAGAATTGGGTTTGAATCAAGAATTGATTCTGGATCAAACTGAATCATTTTCATTTCCAAATATTCCCTTTACTTTAATTCTAAATTGGATTATGGCAAAATCCAAATCAAAGAAGCAGCAATTTATTGTTGAAGGTAAAATGACAAAGCAGAAATGCTTCTGCCTACAAATCTTGTTCTCCAGATTAAGAAAACATTTTGTTTGGTAAAGAACCCAACAAATGTCATATCATCATGAATTTAATCGTTTTTTAGTAAAAATAAAAATGGTTTTGCAAATCATAATATCTGTCAAAATCATCAATTTTTTTATATAGCGTGCAGCCCTAATAACTATCCAACAATAACTTTGACAAAAATGTACCAGACTAAATTCACTGTTGGATGTGTTGATTTCTATTCTCAGACGGTATTAAGTCTCTGCAAGTTGATTTTATAATGTACTGACATATTCTGAGAGCAGTGACTGCCTGGAAGGAATAAAATAAATGTAAAAAGCTGTGGTGGGGTCTGAAAAATGGTTGGAAGCACTGTAAAATGAATACTTTTTCAATTTAATGGGACAAAATGTGCAAAACTTCCAGGGTTGTTCATTTACAATGAGGCAAATGTGTACATTTTGGGTTTGCACAAGGTACTCTCTGCAAAGATTGAACTGGGTCCAGGCAGCAATTACATTCAAACCTTTTAGCACGTGTCAATATTCTATCCTTCCTCCTCTTCAGCTCCTCAGCTTCTTTATATCTTAAATGGCCCTTCACCACTTGTCCTAGACTAGTTTACTCTTCTAACCTTAAGTGTCTTGGCTCATTTTTCTCTCTTCCTTGTCCAGTCCCTCCATCTCTGCTTCTTTCACTCCCTGCCCCTTCATTTCCTTTCACCTTTTCTCCTGCTCCTTCCTTTTCCCTTTTTCCCATCATCTCTTCTTCCCTTCTTTCATATCATCGCCTTTATCACCCGCCCTCTCCTCTGCATTTCCACTCACCTTTGCTTTGTGCTTCTTTTGTCTCCCCCCAGCACCCCATCTCCTCTTCATCCCCTAACCTCCCCCCTCAATCCATCACGCTCCATATCGCTCCTTAAAGAATGATTGGGCTGCTAATCTCGATCCTCCCTTATAGGGGCTCATATCTGATTCCATTTCTGTAATTGAAGGGAGCCCGGCCCCGGCTTGGGCTCACACTTGACTGACAGATTTCCATTCCACAAGTGGTATTCAAAGAGGCTTCTATGAAATGATTGGAAACCTGTCCAGAGATATACAGCACAGGGACCCTGGATTCCAGGAGGCAAACTGCCATTACTGTTGGGTACGTCACACACAAGCTGTGGAGAATGTGTGAGAGGGAGAGACAGAGAGGGACTAAATGACAGCAAACAAAACCAAAATGCCAGCTGTTGCTCTTTTTGAAGTCACCTTTGTGTGAGCTCTGCTAATCTTGAACCACACAAATGGACTTTGCTTGTCTTTTCTTCTCCTCTGCTACTCAGTCATATTTCACTGCCTGTTGACCCCATGAGAAATAGAATCAAGACTATTTTCAACACCCCCCTTCTTTAATTGCCTCTGCTACTTTCCCTAATAGTCTACTGTCCAGCTGAGCAAGCCACACTTCTGTTAATCAATAGCCATATCCACTGTTCTTCTGTGCATCTGTATAAGGTCACTTTATTGAATTCTGCAACCAAGGCAAAAAGCAGCTAATAAATGGTCCCTGAATGCAGTCCTGTAACTCATCCCAAAGGAGGACACAGTCTTCTACGTGTACAAATGACCAATTATGGCCGATGTCTCATGTACACTGCTCTGCTAAATGTTAACAACTGCCATAAACCAGAAAGGGATGACAGTATTCCTACATACCTGTTAGTGTTTCATGGGTCGTTCACAAAGTGGGGATGGAATTGCTCAGAATAGTGCTCAGTCTGGCAAGCGATACAGAAGTATCCACTTCCGTACCACCAGACAACAGATCTTTCCTCAGGCTCTGAGACTCCACCTCACCCGCCATTATAAAATGACATGGATATTTCTGTTATCCTGTTTTTGCACATTACCATGTATGCTTATTGTGAGAGACTACAACTTTAATTTCACTGTGCCGCCCTGTGTTGTGGAAAAAAACATTTTTCTCTAATCACGCTTGCTCCTGTGCTGCATCTTCCTGCATCACATAGAGTATATCAAACCTAAATCTGCCCAGTACAACAAGTCTACTGCTGATAGTTGCTGGATAAGGGTTTAAGCACTTTTCTCAACAAGTCACAAACAAGTCATAAACATCTCTCAACAAGTCACAAACCTGCGTTTATAGACTTTAGGCATGCACACACCCCACCTGCTGCTGTAGTATTAATTGCGATGTTTTGTATGCAGGAGTTATATTAAACATGGCAAAATATCTTTATCAGTATGGAATTACTGTAAAACTTAAATTAATAGCCGAGTCCCAAATAGCTGCCTACCCGTTTACTGGCCTGGTGTGGGAACACATTTTGACAAATAAACACAGGTCCCCATTAAACGCCTGGTCTAGTTTTTATAGAAGTTCTTTGGATGTATAAAACCTCTGAAACCCTGTGGGGTCGCCTGCTTTAGTTGCTTCTAAGGTGCTTAGATCGTTAAAATAAAATAAATTAAAATTAAATTTTAAATGTAGCCTATGATCAATAGCCTATGTCAGTAT